AACGTCGTCGAATTTTTCTCTTTTTTTTTTTTTTTTCCTTTTTTTCTCTTTTTTTCCCCTTTTTGTTTCTTTTTTTCCTTTTTTTCTCATTTTTTTTCTGTCGTCGAAAATTCTCGAGAAGACCAATCAAAATATTTTTTGCTGAGAAAAAATTTTCATAAGCGATTCGCACATCCGACGGGAGGAATAAATACGATTTTTGAAGAAAAATTTCGTCCCTGTTTCTAACTTTAATATTTTACACGTTACCATCAAAATTTCTCATTCGCAAACGTTAACGTGGACCACACGCTCGGCGGCTACGGGCGGCGAAGTACGCTCATGAAATCAAATGAAACTAACTCACAGCGCTATTTCCCGGTACCGTTTAGTTTCATTAGCGCCGCCACAGCCGAACCAAGCTGGTAACACCAGGAACAACGACATTGGGACGTTCGTGTGTTGCTCGACGAGCGAGTGAGCACGCGCGCGCACGTTTGCACTCGCTCGTTCTGCTGCTCGGTCGTACGTGTTGTAGATAGGTAGATAGGTAGGTAGGTAGGTAGGTAGGTACGTGTGCAACTAATGAACTGGCATCGCCCGATTAACCCCAAACCGAGAGTGTATTATGTGCCTAACTCTACGTGCATCTACTCGATGTTCCTCTTTGTGTTGATACGTATATACATACGTGCTACTACCGTCAATGAAACGGATAGATAGATATCCGTCCTGGCGCAAATCGTTCGAACGAAATAACGCTAAATTAATAATCAATTTTTACAATGATTTCAACTAATAATGAATTAAAATAAAATTATCCTTAAAAAAATTTTCTCACCTGGGAATCCTTAAGGCCGAGCTTTTCCGCTAGCTTCTTGCGATCGGGTTTGCTGATATACTTTTGTATTTGGAACCTTTTCTCGAGGCCGCGTCTTTGAAGATCCGAAAAAACCGCTCTTCTCATCATGCCTCTTCGTGGCTTTCCACGAGCGTTCGTCGCCCAAGGAAAGACCAATCCTGTCCCAGCGAAATCACCGAGGCCACCTTGAATGGCACCAGGAAATGCAGCTCCACCACCTGGTGCCGCCGGATGATGAGTACCGGTACCAGAATTTGCGACTGAATAAGAGAAATAAGAATTGTCCGATCAAAACGATTGGTCCAGACTCGTTTCTTCGAGTTAACGTACAAGTAGATATATTTCGAGTTGGTATAAGGAGAAGGAAAAAATGGCGTAGAATAGAATTGAAGTACATCGATCGCTTGTCGAAACCCGTGCCCGATAGCAATTGAATCAAAGTCATCTAATAACGAACGGCCAATTGAATCTCCAGATCGTATCTGCGCGATATTGCCAAGCTGAGCATGATGGTATTATCTGCACCGATGATATTTGCACGCACTTGTTGCATGCGTGCATTTCGCTTGTGGCGGTGCATGTACATAATATGGTAGTGCTTTCACTACACTTCATATGCACTCCATGTCCCATACGAGCCTACCTATAACAAGATATTCGATAAACTCGTGCCCCAGCACGTACCCGTGCGCGTTTATACGCTCGGCGTTCTCTGCACCGCATGCGGAAGTTTCGCTTTTATATGCTCATCGAAAACCCGTTTCCGTCTAGCGCACGGTGTGCGGCGTCTGTTCATTAACTTTTTCGACCTGGCAAAGCTGAAAATGACGCGAACCACGAGCTTTCTTTCTATTTCGACGTTTCACTCTCGACGGATGAATTTCATACTGAAATAAATAAATAAACAAAAATAAATAAACAGAAAAAAGAGAGAGAGAGAGAGAGAAAAGAATAGGAAAAAAAGAAAAAAAAAATAGAAAAAAACCTCTCGGACTCACCGGTTAAATACGGGCCTCTGTAAAATAATTGTTGTAGAGTGTGATGAGCGTTTGGAGGCAAATGACGTTGTGGTGGTTGATGACTTGGCCTGTGATAAGGATGATATGCAGCAGGTCTCGCTATAGGCTTGGCTATGTTGTATCCTGCTGAATTTTGTAAATTTTGCAGAAAGGCGGGTATCGCTTCCGGTGGCAATCCTTGAAAGTTCTCTGTTGAAAAATACGAATGATCAGTGATAAAAAAAATCAATTAAATCAAAGAAGATAGGAAATATACGTTCGCATTACGGTACGTTTAACATGATCCCTCGGAACATTTCGAGAACCTGGATTATCGTGCGGTAGAACGCCTAAGTCGGTGTATTCCTTGCGACGCATAATTCGAGCTGACACCCCCGAGTAAACCCTCCTGACGGCTCCGGGCAAATCCCGACTTCCTGTTGACGCACGCTTCAACACCTCCGACGGAGTAAATAATACTACGTTTCTGTTCCGTACTGTTATACGTAGAATAACCGTCTACCATCGGGGTGTTGATATCTTTTTAAATGTTACACGTTTTGAATTAATAATAGGTGTACATAATTATTGTTGCTGTTTTTCTTTTCTTTTTTCGTTGATAAAAAAAAAATTATAAGAAAAAGGGAGTAAACAAAAGAAGAAGATAAAAAATCTTTGAATTATGATCATCGATAAAATGACCTATCCTTTGGCATGAGGGATCCATCTACTTACGATTTTTATTGTAATATATGTATGTATATCTATATACTTTTTTCTATTCTCTTCTTCGTATGACCACGCCCAAGAAAAGGAACGCGTTTGAGAAAAAAAAAAGAAAAAAAAAAGATAGAAGGAAAAAAATTGACGTGTTCAAAAATAATAAAATAATGGGGATTCCTTGCTTAGGATTTAGAAGAAATGCGGAGAAAAAACGAAAAGGGCGGTTCGTTGCGAAAAAAGGAGGAAATATAGAAAAGAGAGAAATGGTAGTAGGAAGCTTTGCCTTGCGCGTTCGAACAGACAATACCCTGACAATGGCCCATACACGAGGTCCCATTGTGCCTGTAGACCCCATAAAATACTCATCGCCTTTTATCGTTGTTTTCGTAGCCGGCCAATGAGAGAAGCTTTCCGGCAACTTAGAGTTCTGACGGCGGACTAATAACGGCTTAACCTCCAACGGAAACACTGAATGGGAAGACTTTTTTTTTAACCCGCCACTCCCCCTTTGAGATGGTCTTCACATCAAGGCCTACTTTTCCACCCCTTACAACTATCTAGCTCTCTCTCTCTCTCTCTCTCACTCTCTCTCCCCTTTTCTCTCTGCTTATTCTTTGTGAGATTAAAACTCTGGTTCGTAAAGTCTAGAAACTCCGAAACGACTCGCGTGTGTTATTACAGTTGTAATATCCTCTCTTTATATACGGGAGGCTTAAGGACCCTCCTTTTTTCTTTTTTTACTTGCCCCCTCCACACATATACCTATATATATTTCTATCTTTGTCTCTCTACCTATCTATCTCCACCTACCGCATACGGTATATAACATATCGGTGGTTATTCTAAGGGATTAAGGTTTTTGATGCATTATTAACTAGATACCATTGCAGGTTTTCCCTGTGAATAGGAAGCTAAAGACAGAGAGAGAGAGATAGAGAGACAAAGAGAGAGAGAGAGATAGAGAGAGATAGAGAGAGAAAGAGAAAGAGAGAGAGAGAGAGAGAGACATATGCGCACGTTGGGATATGCAAGTGAGGAAGGGATCTGTGGAATGAATTCAACGTAGGTCGTTTCAATATGATCTCTGTTTATTTAACACGCATGGTTAACTAACTGATTTCCTGCTATATAATTTCGTGCTCGCCTCGGTTAGAGAGCATCCTCTTGATTAATCGTCCGTGCAAGAACATCTTGTTTTTCTAAAGAATTCTTTAAGGGTCGCATGAATTTAGAACGAGGGATGAAAATCGAGAGATGACGAAGATTTCGTGATTTCTTTCTCTCTTTTTCTTTATGTCTCTCCTTCTCTTCCTCCCTCTCTCTCTTTCTCTCTCTCTCTCTCTCTCTCTCTCTCATTCGTTTATTCCTTTTCTCTTCTTTTTTCATCTCTTCTACGTACTTAACCGAAACACAACGTTTCTATCGTTCGCGTGTACCTGAGTTTAATTTAAAAAAAACCGATAGGCAGCCACGTCGCGTAGCCATCAGTCGCATAAAACAAACTAAATCGGGAGACAGAGAAAGAGAGAAAGAGAAAGGAAACAAAGCAAAGAGAAAATATATACGTATATCTCGGAGTCGAGTCTCCGCGCTCTCTCTCTATCGCGATTTATAACGAATCCCGTCACGTCGACACATTCGATATCGGAAAATATCAATAATCGCTGTATGTAGCAAAAACATGAACAGACAGAAGGACAAAGAGCGAACCGAGAATGGGAGTGAGAGAAAGAGAGAGAGAGAGAGAGAGAGAGAGAGAGAGAGAGAGAGACAGAGAGGGAAAGGCAAGCTAGTAGGAGTGACAGAGAAAGGATCGGTAAATCGTCCAACGACCAGTGAAAATGGTATTCGAAATTCAACGTCGCTCTCTCGTCACTCCTCCTCCTCCTCCACCTCCACCTCTTCCTCATCCTCTTCCACCCTCTAACCGTCCTCTTCTATCGTAACATCCCACCGGGAGAGCGGCCACCACCCATCCGGCCATTCGACGACGCGTGTACCCCGGCACGCACTCTCGTTTCGTCGATGAATTTCGAGTTTGTTGCCAATCACTTTTTCGCGCAATTATTTCACTACGTTTCGACATGACGTACAATTGGTTGGCGAGGGTGCAAGGGGGTGCCGGTCGGTCCGACCTCGCGAGGGGGGTGGTTACCATGGCGGGCGAACGAGGAGAGATGAGATGAGAGGAGAAAGGGGCCGAGGAAGAGGGGGAGGGCAGGTGAAGCTGGAAGTGGAAGTGGAGCGAGAGGTGAGGAGAAGGGATGTAACACATGCACGTGGCACGGTCAATGCATCCACTATATCCCGACAAATGCATGAAATCCCACCCTCCGTATCGGCTTCTACCTCACCCCTTTCCCTTTCCTCCCCCTACTCCCTCCACCACCTCCTCCTCCACCTCTTCCTCCTCTTCCTCCTCCTCCGATTTAGCCACGAACATCCTCGCGGTCCTCACGGCGCATGCATGCAATTCGCTGATGTTAAATGCAACATTCAACCCCCCTGCCTATCTCTGTCTGTACACCCCCTCTCATTCTCTCCCCCCCTCTCTCTCTACCTATCTATCTATCTATCTATCTCTTGCTCGCTCGTTCTTCCAACCCAACCTCTCTATCTTCCTCCCTCTTTACCGATCGTGACGCCTCGTGCAGCGTGCCGTGCCGTACCTGCTACGTCTGTATCCGCTACGTTTATCGCGCCGCGGGTGGACTTCATCGACGGTGTGTCAATCACGGAATGGTACAGATGGAATGGAGGAACAAAAAAAAGGACGAGCCGGGCGAGGATCGCAATGACGGGATGGCCGAGTTCACCGAACGAACTAAACTCATGATTCCTATGTACCACCTCTGGTATGCTTTTTTTCTTCTTTTTTTTTTTTTTTTGCTCCTTTCTTTTTTCTTTTCTTTCTCCTTTTCCTTTTTATTTTTTTTGTTTTTCTTCTCCTTTCACCAGAAAAATTATTTCCCAAAGAAAAGAACGCCACAATCTCGTTCGTTAATAAAAGACTTTCGTTATGATACTTAAAACAGCTATCGGAGATCCGTCGGACGATTAATACGCGTCATTAACATTATTACGAGTTCTATAACGTCATACTTATCACGAATGATCGGGAGAAATTGAAAAGCGGATAATGTAATCGCAGCGCCAGGTATGTACCTTGGGCTATCGAAAATGAATTGGCTGTCGAAAGATGTACAACGTTAAACGATTTATTAATGACATCATGCCGATATCTCGAAACTTTTGTACCATTTATTTCAATTCCTTATCGTTTAGGGCGTCGGTTATAAACCGCATAACCCGATGATAGGTTAACGCGTAAAACGATTTAAAGTGTAATAACGAAGCAAGCCTGTTAATGGTCCGACAATTATCAAAGGTTATCAATATAGTGACCGGTTCGTCGGCAGTTGAAAGGAAACGCGATAAGAGCGGCCGGCAATACATCATTGGATTCTACCGCTTGTCTAATATTATAGGCACCAATCGTAAGGGCTTAATATTGGGGTGAAGGTAAGTGGCCGACCAGCTGACGCCCTTGCTCCACCCTGCACGCACGCTGCGACTCGTCTTGAGGGTGTGCGGATGAGATTTAGGGACCGCCGACAGAAGTCTGCTCGCGACACTGATTTGTGGTGAGCTTTGTTTCAACACTCTAAATTCTATCCGACGAGTAAGGAAAAGTTTCATCTCACGACGAGCGACGGTAGAATGTTTATTCTTTTATTGTCAATGAGAGTACACGTGTTTCTTGTGAACGTCGTTTCGAAGATGTAAGTTTGAAGGAGAAAAAGAGAGAAAGAGAGAGAGAGAGAGAGAGAGAGAGAGAGAGAGAGCGAGAGGGCTAGAGAAAGAGAGTTAAAAAGGGAAGAAGAACGGGATCTAATTCGTTTTAACGATGCTAGAGATCATTTTCCGAAGACGTTAATATCGTACATCGAAGAGAAAACATTTACCAGGATGCGGTCTCCTATCGTGATTGCCACCGAGTATCGCGTTGACGCTGAACTTGAGCTGCGGCTTCTCCTTCTCCTGTATAGTTCTACAGGCAGGTCCCAAGCATTGCTCGTCGCCGCAGGAACAGGCGGTCGTCCTCTCGCCTATCCTGTCGAGTCCACGCTCGCTGCTCACCGAGGCCTCCCTCTCCCCGTGAATCGTCATATCGTCGGACGTGTGCATGACGTTTCTGCATCCAAGGTCGTAGCGCCTGTCCGCATGGATAGAGGAAGGGACACGTTCGCCAGTGAGAATTCCCGAATCATCCCGATCCCTCTCGCCGTGAAGACCACCGTCCATCTCCGTAGAGACACGATCCTCATCGGCATTCGAGTTGCACGAGTCCATCGCCGAGTTCGATCGATTCTCGATCCTCTCGTTGCAGAGTCTCTCCATCGCGCACAGACGCTCAACGACATTATTGTGAGACTCTCTCTCGCTCTCAACGTCGACGTACGCGTTCTGACCTCTCTCCAGAGGTCCTTCCTTCCCACGAAGGAATTGCATCCTCTCGTCCCGTTGAATTTGACGATCCAATCTACCACTACTATTACTACTACTACTACTACTACCACCACCACCACCACCAACAACGACACCGTTGTTATTCGCTCGCTGATGATCCCTGCAATCCATCATCTGGCCAGATCGATCAATTCCTCGTGATCCAACTATCGATGATCTTTGTTGTTCCGAGTGTTCTTGACTTACACTCGGTGGTGTTGGAGACAATCTCTCTCTACCGATTCGTAGATTAGCCTCGCATTCTCTCTCCCGCTGTCGTGCTACCAAACTAGCCGCCCAGTTCAAGGTCAGACTAGTCAAGTCCGTCCCTGACGAGGCCTTACTTTGGAGGAGATTCTCCATCAAGAAGGGCGAGGTCATTGCACTTTGCTGCAGATTCTTCAGCATCGCCGCTGACGAGGGGAACATAGCACGGCTCCCTTGCTCCACTCTCTCTTTCTCTCTCTCTTTCTCTCTTTTTCTTTCTCTCTCTTCCTTCTTACGTTCCTTTTCTTTCTTCTCCTTTGCTCGAATGATTATCGAGGACCCATTAAACCATCCTCTTTGAGATCTCGTACATTTCTACTTCGTCAAGATTGAAGGACACACATTCTTTTCTCTTTTTCTCTCTGTCTATTTATTTATTTATTTTTTTTTAATAATATCAACGAATCATATTCGCAATACCGAAAAAAAAAATGATCGTTTTACATCCGCGACGCTACGCGATTTCTGATATTGAAAAAGAGAGATATTAATCCGCCATTCTGTATAAATTAAAAAAAATGATCATGAACAATATTTCTCTTCTTTAACTTCCTCGCTCGTGGAAAACCATTGAAAATTTTGTCTCACTCACTCTCGTACTCACACGAGATATAAGAAAAATAAATAAGACGACACAAGCACCATTATCAATTTAAAATTACGGAACGAAAAGGAAAAAGAAAAGAAAAAAAAAAGAAATACTCTTAGCGTGGTCGATCGTATAGAGGAACGCGAATGCGAGCGGGTAGAGAAACGTGCGATTTCGGCAGCGGAATGTCAACTGACGTGCGCTTGAGAACAGAGAAGGGGGGTTAGTGTGGCAGCGCGCAACGTGCGAGCGTGCGACCCTCGAATGAAGGCCCACAAAGCAGCATATAGTTGGCACTCGAGATCCCATCCTCCCTCCCTTTCCCGGAGACACCCCTCCTACCTTTACCACGGCCGGGAGTAAACGAAGAAGGGAGAGAGCGAAGGGGTGGTGGTTGCTCCGACGCCTCCTTCCTTCATCACCCCTCTCTCTCTCTCTCTCTCTCTCTCTCTCTCTCTCTTTTTTTCTCTATAACCCCCCACTAAAGCACCTTTTTCGCTCTTAGGTGAGATAATACAGACTATAAGCCGAGCAATTCGGGGTTTGGCTCGCTCGGTAATGCCGTAATAAAATCATACTCCCATCAAACGGTGCTGCTGCGTTCACCCCCCCCCCTTCCCCACCACAATTGAGAAAAAGAGAAAGAGAAAGAGAAGGAGAAAGAGAGAGAAAGAGAAAGAGGGAGATAGAAAGAGAGAAGAAGATGAAGACGAAAGGGAGGCGTTTCGATAGGGAAAGAAAGAGACGATGGTAGAGTAGTACAGATGATGGTGGTGGAAGTTTCTACACCAAAGAAGGCAGGAAAAAAGCTCCGGAGATTCGCATTCCTTTGGTAGCAACGATTGGATTTTATTTGACGAAGCCGCCCCACGAATCGTCCAATCGCTCGCTTCGACGTTATTCCCCGGCCACGCCCACTTACCCCTCTGCGATACTTCTATCTCTCTCTCTCCTTCTGTCTGTCTATCTTTCTCTCTCTGTCTGTCTCTCTTTCCCTCTTTCTTTCTCTCTCTCTCTCTCTCTCTCCCTCTCGAGGTCGAATGGTAGGGGACGTCGAGCAGCTCACTCTACACCCTTATCAACTTTATTATCTCTCACCACTACGCATGCACGTCTTCCGGAGTCTCGTGTTTCTCTACTTAGGAGCGCAAGTAGTGAGGGCCAGTATCGCGCGCGGCATGACTTATTCACCGGTGTAATTGCACACTTCCGATCGTCCGTGCCCGTTCTCCGTTGCCTCGAGTTTGCAAGTTGCTATAACGACGACGACGACGACGACGACGACAGCGACGGCGAGCGACGGCGAAGGCGACGACGACGATGATGATGATGGTAATAATAATAATAATAATAGTAATAACTATAATCGAGACCAGCCACTTCGGCGATCGGCCAATAATAACGCCTATAAGATTATTAGGAAGCTGTTAACTTACATGTAGAGTTAATAATGATAATAATCATTACGATAATCGTCATAACGAGAGAGAAAAACTTTTTTATTTTATAGTTCACCGGCGATTTTTTTGTTTCTTGTTTTTCTTTTCCTCTTTTTCTCTTTCTTTCAACTATTTTCTTTTTTTTCTTTTTCTTTTTCTTTCTTTTTTTTTTTTTATTAAGGCGAGTTTAAAATAAAAATCTATAAAATCTCGATCCATTAAAATTTTAAAGAGAGACAGTAAAAAATATTTAACTCCTTTATTTCAGGAGAATATCACTGTATCGTACATTTCGTGATATTAAGAGAAGACGCACATGGCAGATAAATAGATAAATAGATAGATAGATAAATAGATGGTTAGATGGATAGATACATAGGACGAGGAGAATTCGTTGAAGGTGTACGGCGGCAATGCGCGTCCGGCGGAAATGTCGGTAGGGTTAATTAAATTAACGAGCGGCATACCGGTACTCAGGTCGGATTCGACGAACGCACGCGTATGCATATACGTATAGTATCGTAAGTGAGGGTGGGGATGGAGGAGTGCAGAGATGGAGTGGAGGGTTGGTTAAGTACATACATAATATATACATCCATACTATGCAGTTATATGATACCAGGCCAATGCCTAATACAGGATGACTAGTAACAAAGTTCTCTCGATATGCAATTAACGAGGTAGGTACATACGTAAACTTGCGCATTATATGAGCGCACATATAACCGTCGAACGATCGAGGAATAAAGTCAGGGAGCGAGAATGGAGGAGAGGTTGAAAGAACGGCAAGTAGAAGGGGTTGGGGTATGGATGGGTGGGGGTATGGATGGGTGGGTGTAGGTGGGGTGCTGATTCGTCAAGGGGTAAAAAAGAGAGAAAATCGTCGCGCGGTGCGTTTAAGTGGACTCGCCGTCTATTAGCGGGAAGAGAGGGAAGAAAGAGGAAGAGGAAGAGAAAGAGAGAGAGAGAAGAATAGAGAGAAGGAGAGAGAGAGAAAGAGAGAGGGTAGTTTTTCTTACACGCTTTTCCACCCTCTAAAACGTCGGCCAGCACCGACATCCTCGACGCCACGTGGTAGTGGAGGGTAGTGGTAGCCAACGAGAGCATAGCACGGGCCACCCTACCCTTCTCGATTCCACCTCCACTATGGCATTCCACAGCCACGCCTACCCTTCGAAATCACCTCTACCTCGTCGACGTCACGACTTATCACCCTCTCAGCGACGTTCGAACCAACCGGTGGGGGTGCTGGCTGTTCCTAGCTATACCCCTGCTAATAGTAAAGGTGGTGGTGGTGGTGGTGGTGGTGGTGATGGTGGTGGTGGTGGTGGTGGAGACGGTGATGGTTAAAGCGAGGAGTGCCGAAGGCTTGCTCGTAGAAAGAAAGAAAAAAAAAATAAAAAAGAAAAAAATCATGAAATGAACATCGGAAGGGAATCCTCGAATTATTATAGGAGATTCTATTATATGTTTATTACTCTGCCCGCTCCATCGATTAAAGAAAAAAAAAGGGATGCCTTTTATCGATGCTATACGTTTTTAATGTTTTCTCGAATAATTTCATATGAATCTCTTTTTGTAAATCAGATTTTTCATGTAACTTTATTCTTCGAATTTATATTATGGTCAAATGTTTGTGATAATAAAAAAAAGTATGAAGAGAAAAAGTAAGAAAGAAAAAAGAAAGAAAAAAGAAAGAAAAAGAAAAAGAATAAATAAAGGAAGAAAGGAAAAAAAAGAATTTATTTTTTATTTTCTTACACAAGTTTCATTAGATTACAGTTGAACGTATAATAGAGAGGATAAGTATAAACGGTACAAGAAAGGTAGACAATATTTTCTATTCCTTTTACACCGATATCACCCTTATTTGCATCCTTGTACCTCCCTTGCCTGTGCTTTAAACTTATTTGCGGTCCACGATCTCCGAATAATGCTAATGAAGATACCGTCTGTTAGAAACTGATATTTTCACTTGTAAGCTGCTCCGCGAAAACATTATTTGGAGACAATGATTACTTCAAATGTAGTAGAGGATTCATCGTGGAATTTCGATGATTTTCTACGGTTTACGAACTCGTTTGCTTTCATTGATGCTAGCTAGAGAAAGATATCTACGAGAAAGTGAACGCGTTACGCTCCCGAAGGATAATAGCGGGGGTGGCAAAGTAATAATATTATTCTGATAGGGGGCAGTTATGAGCATATGACGCCACGGTATTATGTCTCTTATCCTATGACGCTGCTGTATCTATCTATATATACTATATACTATAGTATATATATATATATATTTTTTTGTTCTTTTTTCTTTTTTCTTCTTTCTATTATATCGACTATAATCGTTGTGCGAAGAAATACAGCTATGCGTGTGTTACGCCGAATGAGACGAATCAGCCGTTAAAAATCGGCTTTATTACTTGCCACAGATTTTCTCAATGATCTGACATTATATAAGAATACTTTTCCCTTTTCCAATTCGTATATCAATTTTTCGTGAGTTTATCTATAAACAAAAGTATCATAAGGATTTTAATACTTTAAAGAGGGAAATAAATAATATCGACGATAATTACTCGCAAAATTATTATATTAGACACGAGATGTTTAAGATAAAAAAAGAAAAAGAACAAAAAAAAAAGAAAAGAAAAAGAAAAAAAGAAAAAGAAAAAGTGAAAAAGAAAAAGAAAGAAGAAAAAGAAGAGAGAGAAGAGCATCGTTTCGAATGGCAGATCATTCTTTTTTCCTTATCAACAGATCGTAACAGTTCGGGTAAGAACAATCGAAGTAGCAAAGCGCGAAAACGATTGTAGCTTCGTGCGAGAAAGACGTATCGAGTAAGTTATTATATAGTTGGGTGGGTATATAAATTGTCACCTAGCAGTCGCACGTAGGGGCTGCTGTCGCTACGAGTTCGAGATTGCTTTGTTTGGTATAAAGAACGACGGAGGAGAGGGAGAGACTCGAAGCAGAGGCGGATAATAAAGGAGAACGGAAGAAGAAGGGTGAGAGGGGAAGGGGGAGGGGAGGAGGAGGTATGAAGGGAGCCAGGAAAAATCCGATATCTCGCTGAAATGAGAACTTCGGTAGGTACTACAGCCGATGTATGCCTCGTATATACATTCCCGATGGAA